CTTGTATTTAGTCGGGGGGGGGCTCAGCAGACCTGCAACTGATGCGCCCCCCCCCGTGTCCCCAGGACGCCCAGTATCGACCGGCTGGCGGCGGACGGCGTGAGGCTCACGCAGCACCTGGCGGCCGCCCCGCTCTGCACCCCCAGCCGCGCCGCCTTCCTCACCGGCCGCCACGCCTTCCGCTCAGGTGCGACCCGGGGACCCCCGGACACGTGCACGCTGCGTAACGGCTCCGTCCCGGCACCCAACACGACGGTGCACGTGACGGCCACGTCACTGATACTACAGGACACATGGATGAGTGATGCGTAATGGGGAGATGATTCATAGACGGCACATGATACATACACATGATTGATAGACGGTAGATGATAGATAGATAGATAGATGATAGATAATTGATAGATAGATAGGTAGATAGATGATAGATAATTGATAGATGATTGATAGATTGATAGATGATAGATAGATGGCAGATAGATAGATGGATACATAGATTGATAGATGACAGATAGATGGATAGATGATAGATAGATAGATACATAGATAGATAGATGATAGATAGATAGATAGATGACAGATAGATAGATGACAGATAGATGGATAGACAATAGAGAGATAGATAGATGATTGATAGATACATGATAGATTGAGTGATAGATAATAGATTGATAGATATAGATGATAGATACATAGATAGATGAGATAGATAGATACATAGATGAGATAGATGATTGATTGATAGATGATCGATAGATAGATGATAGATAGATGGATAGATGATAGATAGATAGATGATAATAGAGAGATGACAGACACATTCGTGGACGATATATTGGTGATTGATAGATGGATACACAGATGATATATAAAAAGATGGTTGATAGATGAGAGATTGATGCCTGATAGATAGATGATAGATAGATGGATGATGGGTACATGATTGATAGGTGGATGTTGATAGGGAGATAGATACATGGATCATATTATTCATAGATGGATGAGTGATAGGTACACGATTGACAGATGAATATTGATAGGGAAATAGATACCTGATAGATAAATGGATCATATGTTGTTGATGGGTAGATGCTAGACGGGTGATAGGTGTATGATTGATAGATGGATATTGATAAGGAAATACGTACGTGGATCACATATTATTGATAGATGGATGGATCACACATTATTCATAGATGATTAGTAGATGAGACATCACTAGATAATGGATGGATACATAGATGGATGCGGACAGATGGCTGACAGACCCCCCCCAGTCCTGTGACCAGGTGGCGTCCGTGCCCCATAGTCTCTGGTCTCCTCCCCACGTCACGCAGCCCACCCCAGTGACCCCCAAACCCTTTCCCATCATTCCCCGGGGAGGCCCCAGCTGTGCGGAGAGGCCCGGGAAGGGTTCGCTGACGTCATCCCCCTGCGGCCCCAGGCATGGACGCCAGCAGCGGGTACCGAGCCCTGCAGTGGGTGGCCAGCTCGGGCGGACTCCCCGGAAATGAGACCACCTTCGCCCGGATCCTGAGGGAGCGTGGCTACGCCACCGGACTCGTAGGTGAGCGGGGCAGGAGCCCGTCAGTCAATCAATAATCCACCAATCCATTGGTCAGTCAATGAATCCGTCAGTCAATCAGTCAGTCCATCAGCCAGTCAGTCAATGAATCCACCCATCAGTCAATCGATGAATCCACCCATCAGTCAATCAGTGAATCCATCAATCAATCTACCAGTGAATCCCTCAGCTAGTCAGTCAGTCAATCCTACTGTGATTATATTTTTCTTCATTTAATTAGTGCACATCTTGGTTGACCACTGCTGACTAAGAATTCAGCACCCTGGAGAAGGGTCAAAAACTAAATGAGGTTATCAGGGCATTGAGGGGCCCCATTCCATCATCCCCTGACGATGATAGGAAAATACGGAGAACGTGCTAAGTACGCGTAATTGCGAAATCCAGCGTCTTAGATATTGAGTACATGTAAAAAGGACAGAGATGGCTCAGCGGTTAAGACCACTGGCTGCTTTTGCAATGAACCAAGTTCCCTGCACCCTCTTGATGGCACACGACCACCTGTAGCCCCGGTTCCAGGAGATCTGACGGCCTCATCTGCACTCTCTGGGTGCTGTGGTCACGTGATGCACATACCCGCACACATCATGAATCATCACGAATCGCTCCTGCCTCCTTTTCCCCTTTTCCTGGCTGCATATGTTTCCTCGCGGCACAGACGGG